ACTTCACATAGGTTGCATTGTTGATAGTATCGGCCTACTGCGGCGGTTTTATGATCTTTCCGTCATGCCCGAAGCTGTCGCGACGCCCCAGAAGCGGGTTCTGGGAGATGCATCGAATAATCCGCGCGGTATCCTGAAATCCCCAGACGCGAGCAAGAAACGGAAAATCGACAGCAAACCACCCGCGAGAGTCAATGCGCCCGTTAAAAATGGCCAACGCAAAGTGCCGGGCTCAAGTCAGTTACAGAAGAGTCAGTTCGAGGAGGAGGTGCTTGAGAAATTGACACAGGACATCAATGACTTGAAGGATAGCAATGCGGAGAAGGACCAACAATGGGAGCGGCCTCCGCTTGGCGAGTTTGACCCTACGAAGGAGAGTGTCTGCTTCCAACAGATTGATGCCGAAGAAGGAACGCTCATGGGTGGCAAACCGGCCATTAGACTGTTTGGAGTCACAGAGGTATTGTCTGCGCGGTGTCAATTATCTGCGAATTGCTCTAACGTCCCGTACAGGCTGGCCAATCCGTCTTGCTGCATGTAACCGGCTTCCAACATTACCTCTATATCGCCGCTCCTGTGAACTTTACGAAAGAAGACTGCGACCCGTATCGGGCTTTCCTGGAAAGTAGAATCGGTAATTTCCAGACGATGATCCAGTCGGTTCAAGTGACTCTGAGAGAGAACATCTATGGCTATCAAGGGAATCAAAAGAGTTGGTACCTGAAGATCACCGTCACTGAGCCGAAGTTTATCAGCAAATTGCGAGGCGCGTTGGAGAACGGGGGCCAAAGCATGAACTACAAAGGTCTTTGGACTGGCATTGAAAAGATTGCCACCTTTGACAATATCCAATATCTTTTGAGGTTTATGATTGATACAAATATCTCCGGCATGTCCTGGGTAGAAGCTAAGGCGGGAAAGTACCGACTTCTTCACCAAAAAGAAAAACACTCCAATTGCCAGATCGAAGCCGTTGTCGATTATCGCGACCTGATTGCCCACCCACCTAATGGGGAATGGGCAAAAATGGCGCCGCTCCGTATATTATCCTTCGATATCGAGTGTGCTGGACGAAAGGGTATCTTTCCAGAACCAAACCAAGATCCTGTCATCCAGATCGCCAACGTCGTGACTCGCTATGGAGAGTCAAAGCCTTTCATCCGAAATGTATTTGTTTTGGATACGTGTAGCCTGATTGTCAATACCCAGATCTTGGAGTTTGAAAAAGAAGAGAAAATGCTGATGGCTTGGCGCGATTTCGTGGAGAAAGTCGACCCTGACGTGATTATTGGATATAACATTGCCAACTTCGATTTCCCTTATCTTCTGGATCGAGCGAAGCATTTGAAGTGCACTGGATTCCCTTACTGGACTAGGTTGAACGGCGTTATGACTCAGGCTAAAGAAACAAGCTTCTCTAGTAAACAGATGGGCAACCGTGATACAAAGGCGACCAATACCAACGGAAGAATCCAGCTTGACCTTTTGCAACTAGTCCAAAGAGATCATCAGCTGAGAAGTTATACATTGAACTCTGTGTCTTACGAGTTTCTGGGTGAACAGAAGGAAGATGTTCACCACACAATGATCACTGAGTTGCATAACGGAACGCCCGACTCAAGGCGACGTCTTGCCGTGTACTGTCTTAAGGACGCATACCTCCCTCAGAGATTAATGGACAAGCTCATGTGCCTCGTTAATTATACAGAGATGGCAAGAGTAACGGGTGTTCCGTTCAATTTCCTTTTATCACGCGGTCAACAAGTCAAATTCATGAGTCAGTTATTCCGGAAGGCCCTGGAACAACAACTGGTTATTCCAAATAATACTCCAGAAAGTGAACAGGAATACGAAGGTGCTACTGTCATTGAACCGGTTCGAGGCTACTATAGTGTTCCTATTGCAACTCTGGATTTTGCTTCCCTATACCCCTCCATTATCCAAGCCCACAATCTATGCTACACAACACTATTGAACAAGAAGGCCGTTGAAAAGTACAATCTGAAGAAGGATGAGGACTACATCGTGACGCCTAATGGAGACTTGTTCTGCACAACGAAGGTCCGCAAGGGTCTCTTATCTCAGATCTTAGAAGAACTGCTTTCCGCAAGAAAGCGAGCGAAGAAGGAGTTGGCGAGTGAAACAGATCCTTTCAAGAAGGCTGTCTTGAACGGAAGACAGCTCGCCCTTAAGATCAGCGCTAACAGTGTTTACGGTCTCACGGGTGCAACAGTTGGAAAATTGCCATGTTTACCTATTGCAAGTAGCACAACCAGTTACGGTCGTCAAATGATCGAAAAAACGAAGCAGGAAGTGGAAGCACGATACACCATTGCGAATGGCTATTCCCACGACGCAAAAGTTATTTATGGTGATACCGACTCCGTCATGGTCAAATTTGGTGTCACGGAGCTAGCGGACGCCATGAAGCTTGGACAGGAGGCTTCGGAATACGTCTCCTCGAAATTCCTGAAGCCAATCAAGCTCGAGTTCGAAAAGGTGTATTTCCCGTACCTCCTCATCAACAAGAAGAGATATGCTGGCTTATACTGGACGAAAACCGAAAAGTATGATAAGATGGACACCAAAGGTATCGAGACTGTTCGTCGTGACAACTGTTTACTGGTGCAAAATGTCATTGAGACAGTGCTGCACAAGATCTTGATTGACAGAGACGTTGACGGCGCCCAAGAGTGAGTCTCCATACTTAGCGTTCCTTAGTCTGTAGCGTTATCATATCATAACAACTAACGTGCCTCTAGGTATGTCAAGGAAACGATTTCAGACCTTTTACAAAACAAGGTCGACATGTCGAAGCTTGTGATCACAAAGGCTCTTTCTAAGTCCGACTATGCAGCCAAGCAGGCACACGTAGAACTTGCTGAGCGTATGAAAAAACGTGATGCGGGTTCTGCGCCTACCCTTGGCGATCGTGTTGCGTACGTTATTGTCAAGGGTGCTGGTGGCTCAAAGAACTACGAGAAGTCTGAGGACCCTATTTACGTTCTTGAGAATAATCTCCCTATCGACACCAAGTATTACCTGGACAATCAACTTGCAAACCCTCTCGGCCGTATCTTCGAGCCCATTCTCGGAGAGAAAAGAGCTGGACAGCTTCTTACCGGCGAGCACACACGGTCCATCTCAGTAGCCGCACCAACTATGGGTGGGCTTATGAAGTTTGCGAAGAAAACCGCCACCTGCATGGGGTGCAAGAAACCCCTTTCTGGCAAGGCTGAAATGGCCGGTGCTGTGTGCGAGCACTGTCAGCCGCGGCTTGGCGAGCTGTATACGAGATCGTTGACGAAAGTGTCCGATCTCGAGGTCCGGTTCGGGCGGTTGTGGACCCAATGCCAGCGCTGCCAGGGCAGTTTGCATTGCGAAGTCATCTGCTCGTCCAGGGACTGTCCGATCTTCTATATGCGTATGAAAGCAAAGAAGGACGTGGAAGATGCACAAAAGGAGCTCTCTCGGTTTGATTTCGACGCCGGAGCGTGGTAAACCCCGTATTTCTGGGTATGGTTAGCGCGGCTTGTACAAGTATTAAGACTCCTTTGCTTATTTCTCGGGGTCGATTGATTTTTATGGCGTCTTGGGCAACTAGCATGGATAACGATGGAACCAATCCGGACTGGAGGATTGTGTCTAGATACCAAATAATGAGAATATTCGCACATATGTACACCTGTACCGGGACTTTTAGACCGCTCTCTTTCCACTTCAGTGCTCTGAACATGAGCACCCTGTGCAGGGTGGCTCTGCAAAAACCTATTTCAGTCTCTGCGACTAGGAAACTGGTCCGCGAAGACAGGCTCGTTCGGCATCACAATCCACGGACAAAAAGAAGGATCCGACCGAGACGAGACTCGAACTCGCAAACCTTTGGTACCGGAAACCAACGCGCTACCATTGCGCCACTCGGCCGACCGCTGCCAAGGTGAAGAGAGATTTCGGACTCCGTCAAATGGATGTCTTCGAGGCCATGTCCCAAAGATACGCCCAGTTAGTGACTGTTTCCCGGTATCAGAATCAATTTACTAGCATACGTGGAAGAACAAAATCCTCAACGATATCTCCTGGGAATTCTTCGATGGCGTCATTCACTTTGCTCATTTGATCAGAACTCCAAGAAGCGAAATCATCGAAATATGATAAGGCAACTCTGAGATCGAAGCCATCTCAAATTTCAGTCTCTGGATATGTACCACTAGTGGAGGACTGCTTAGCGGCGGGATGATCCGTAGTGCCGATCAATTTTCTACTGCATCCAACATTCCCTGCGAGGGAGAGACTAAGGTTATGGTCAAGCATCCGGAAAAAAACCAAAGTATTGTCTGTCAATTACCCACCGGACGGCTGCACAGGTCTCGAATGCGAGTAAGACTCGCAGGAGGCCCTGCATTTTACCTGCATCGGAAAAGATCGACATCAGACAGCCAAAAGTAGCTCGCTGTGTGTAGGTGAGAACGAGGCCTGCGCGATAGATTATTCCCCGGCATATCTCTTGATCCACTGGATGGTGGGCCACGCACTATGCCATCGTGCCTGAATACTACAAGTATTTATGTATTCTTCTTGACTTCTCCAACGGAGATTAATTCCGATATATGTATGTATTCACTTCCACGGTGGGTTTCCAAAAGAGGGAGTCTATGCTTTTTGCACTTCCACTCCAGTGACAAGGAGCACTTGGAAATAAACTGTCATATTTCAGAAGACTCACCGCCACCATTCCGCAAAGCATCTGGTGCTCTAATGTTAATCCCGCATAGGGCACGATGCTCTATCACAGCCAGTTGATTGTTGGTTCTCCTCACGTACATTTAGATTCAATAACTAGCCTTTCCGTATACTGGCTAACCGCCTGCACGAGAACTAAGTCAACGTCGATGGAATCCAGACTTTCACCGGGCATGACCGACGTAATTAATCTGCGTGAAGGAACGTATCCTCACTAGACATATTAGTTTATACCAAAAAAGACCCTTTACTTCTCTTTCAATTCTCATGTTTGACCTAGCCAGGCATATTCTTTTAAGGTTCAATTTGTCCTCGACGCTGACATCGGGCCGACACCACAGCGTGCGAAGACGGACTAAATCTCTTGTCAAAAGTGATTTGTGATGCTGTTAACTTGCATGGACTGTGACACGTATTACAGCAGATATATGCATGCATGCATGCATGACGAATAATGGATCTTCGTAATTTCGTTGGCCCACATCTACAACTCCCCACATGGGCAAAGGATAACCCGCATAGACCCATAGAAGCATCCAGTGACTCGCCCTTCACCATAATTTACGTTGTCGTAGGATTTCAATCTTCACGGGTATATAAAAGGAGAAAGTATCAGTCGTATCCTTGAGCCATTCTAACCTAACTTGAATACGAAATAATTATCACACCGGCACGCCCAGAGGTTTCCAAAAGACTCCGTAAGAGCCCAACATGGCAGCAGATAGTAAGTGAATCCAGCCACGCTCGGTGTACTTGTACATTTTGTTTTAAAATATTTTTCTCGACTTAATGATCATGACAGACAGCGAGGATTTTTCCCTTGTGTCCTTTGAATTCCAGATAGAAGGCGAGGAACCTATTGTCCGCGACATCTCCACCCCAGAAGCCAGGAAGGAAGCAAAAGAAAAGCCCCTTCGATGTTAAGGATGGCTCACTATATAAGATTGTGGTCAAATTCCGCATAGAAAATGTCACTATCTCTGGATTGATATGCACCTCTGATATCTCCAGACACGCAATTCGGGTTGATACAATCCGCCATATGCTAGTAAGTATAACGCCAGAAGTGTTAAACAGGGGCAAAGACTTGTCAGGGAAATCCACAGGGCTCATTCGGTCCAGATTCTGAGCTGCGCACTGTCAGCCTCCCACGTAAGTACTTTAATCTTAATAAGTGCACACATCCTAAGGCTAATCCTTCCCCCAAGGCAATGACTGGGAGGAAGCTCCCGTGGGGAAAATGGCTCATGGAAGTTATCTCAATCGACTTACCTTTTTTGATGATGACAGGGTAGAGCGTGGTAGATTTGAGTTTACTTACAACATTGTGGCTAAGTCGTAGCTGGAGCTAATTGTCAGTCTTATTCCATGATATGCTTACCCTCGAGCTCGAGATTCTAGTATCCATATTCTATACTGAAACCTTACAGCTTTCATAAATTATCCATCTGTGTACAGGTCTTGCATTATTTGCACATAGTTTAGCTAATGCCCTCCTTTGGCCTGTTGATCGGGCACTGGCATACGGAAATTCCCCAACGATAAAATTGACCAAAATTGAAGTTTTCCAAAGCTCCACTACGACTAGATTTGACGCTGAAGTCGGGAAGCGTATCTCTAAAACCTAGAAAATCGCCAGACACCAAAAGAAGCCCAATATCTGTGCTTTTGCCGCGTGAATTTAATGTTCCTTATCAATGGTTTCGAGCATGTATCCACGGCAGACCTACTGTTCCTTCTCCTCCAGCTCCCACTATAAAGATTCTTGATGTCATACAAGAAAAGGTCCTGGCCCGTTAGATCTGTCAGTTTGATTCTCTACATACTGCACCTGCTCCGTACACCAATGATGATAGAACACAGAGTTCGCTAGCATTTCTACGGACCGAGTCTGAGTAGCCCTAAAGTAGTTCACAAGCAAGTGAGTCGCAGCCCGCGGTAATGTGATCGTTCTTGGAACAGTACGGGAACAGAGCCCACGAATTCTGGCATAATCTGGGACCTGATTCGCACAAGTCATAGGCCCAACTGGCGGAGTCAATCTCCTTGTCAGAGGGATCAGTCGACTCCTCACCCAACTCCTCACTCGACCCGAGAGCAGCAAACGTAGTGGTATTCATGGTATGATCATTTCTTTAAACATGATTATTCTTTTAGAAGAAAAATCCCAGGCTGAAGGAATAAAACCCAATCAATACACATGCGTGCCTGTCCTGCTCAACACTATGATCCCCGTGTCCTGATACACCATTCTCCTGAGTAGAATAAAAGCTTTGCCGGAGGCCCAAGAGATATATTAACCCAACATATGTATGCCCGATACACACCGGCATACGTGGTATCGGCTCGGCATACCGCTGCCGTAGCCACGGGTATGGGATTCGGCATGCCATAGTGCAATATCTGACCAGAGCCACACGTCACAGGGCCATGGAAAGTTGTTACTGCTCCACTATTCTTCTACCTCGAAGTGTTAAGGAGGGTGAACTGGGTGAAGACAAGACTAGCGAACTGGATAGCAATAAATTTAAAAAAGAAAACATACAACAGGAGGGATTCGCTGGTGGTCACCCACCCAACTACTAACCTCCCGGCGTGTGGCTTAAGTACGGCTGAGCGGACGGGAAGCCCTGTTCTCCACACCCTATGGTCGTATGTACTAGTTTTTGAGCTAAATGAGAATATCAGTGACACGAATACTATCTTTTTAGTAGCCATGCTGGGACGGATCGAGGCCACAAGTTATATAGTGAACGGTTCTTGTGCACTTGCCTAATACGGGTGCCGTCGCTTTTGTAAGGATATTACGTGAGTGATCCGTAAGCGCTCTGGGTTATATATTGAATGCTCTCTGAATATACATCTACCACTCTGGCTACTCCCGGAGTAATTAGACTAGCTTCTAGTTTTCTCTTTAATTGATCCAGGAGTAGTTTATATTATTAGCTCAATTTTATAATTAGGTATTTATATAAATTATACAGTAATAGGGTAACCTAATATTTACACTGTTTAAGACCCAATTGGAGGTCTATAGATAGCCTAACCTCATCTTTCTTCAACCGAACTTAGACTCTGTGCGAGGTGGGCATAGTATAGCAGTATCCGATGGATCAAGAATGCAGATCGTCGCGAGATGGTTGTGACAGGGCAACGTTGCCATGATAGGGAACCAGGGTATGCTCTCCAGACCATTCGCAACCGATTGATTAACAAAATCCTTGGTCATGCAGCAGTAAAAGAAAGCCCTTCGGAGATGAATTATTGGTATGTAGACAAAGAGGCTCCAGTGCAAATGTGGAGCTATTAATTGAGACAAACACAATCTAGGCGAAGCGCCTGTTGACACACACATAGGGAACGCTCCCTCAAAACCTCGGGTTGTCCTTCTTTTGTTCTTCCTCCACGAAAGAGCGAAATTTAGCCTCCTCTTCTGGCGACACCCACACATCCCTTCCGAGATCGCGATGCATCTGATTGAAATACTCGCACATTTCACCCTGCGACTTGCTGGTCTTGCAAACAACTGTCATCGAGTAGGGGCTGCCGTTGATACTTTCGATTGTATAGGCCTTTTGTTTAACGTGTTCGGCAATAGCAAGAAGCACTTCGTCGATAGTAGCGCAAAAGCTGGCACTACATTTCCGAAAGCTTGACCCAATATCAAGATTAACCCAGATTGTCTGTACCGAGGGAGGGCCGGAGTAACAGGGAATTTCTCCGGCTTCTTCTATTTCACCTGTATTCGGGTTTTTGAACTTTCCATCCACTATTGGAACTCGGTGCCCAGGATGCCAGTCCACCATGTACTTCATTTTCGCTGAGGTCGTGTTCCAGGCTGCAGCTTAATAATGGATATAATAGCATGAGATGAGTGGGGAGGAAAACAAAGGGGTGGGAAAATTGGGGGCAAACATGGAAAAGATGGGAAGGAGGAAGGTAAGAGAGCGAGAGGACTAGAGAGAGGGGTAGAAATTGACAAAATCACGCATGACGTGAGGGTTCAAACATTCGGCCCAATTGCCATCTTTCATTAATGCAGCTATCTACAGGGATAATCGCCTGGTTTGGTGGCTCAACAGGAATCCAGTCCAAGAAGGGCTCCCAAAGTGGGTCGAGCTAGGCTCATGAGTTGTCGGAAACTTCATCGCCAAGTATATGCGGCTCTATACCCTGTATACCGAGTGTCCAGGCCGTTGGATGGGATATGATATTAAGTAATACATACAACTCTACAGTTACATTGCTTAACATCCTAGCTACAGGCGGCAAAATTCCGAGGGGTCTTCCGTAGCGGGAAGATTATGAGAGGAGAATCAAAAGAACACTGAGATGAGGTATAAATAGTACTTGCAAGGACATCTCAAGAAGTGCCATGCTTTCCAAATTATGGGCACCGAAGATGATGCATGGGTTCTTGGATCTGATTGGTCTAGATGGGAGCGCTGATGTTCTTCATCCCTTCATGATGAACTGCAAAGTGTTGCATTTAGTGGCAGTCAGGGTGTCGCCCACATCAAAGGCGATATGTCTCAACCTGAGGTCGGACATGCTTTTGAAGCTACCTTGGAGGCGTACAAGGGCCAGCTTCAGATGCTGAAAGGCTTCACAGACGCAGACTGGGGTGGATGTCGCGAGAGAAGACGATCAACGGCTGGATATCTCTTCAACATTGGGAGATCTGCCGGTAACTCGAACAGTTCTTCAACGACATCAGCTACACCGATAGCTGTGTTGAGAATGATATATGGTAAATCCCGATGGGTACAAGATGTGGCAATTTATCAAGCCTCTCCAGTTCCCCAGGTAAAGCAAAAGAAATAGCAGGGGAATACATCTCGACTATGGGCTAGAGGTAAGATTGTTCTGTTTGTAAATATGATTGATAAAATTTAGAGATGGAACTCTGAGTGCCTGTGAAGCGTACATCGGAGTCTAACTTCGTCGCTCTTAAACCCCTCATCGACTTCTTTACAGAAAATTGGTGTTTTTATTATCGTAAATTGAGTACCGAGACGAATAATATCTTATACACAACGAAGAGGAATGGCTGTGGCGAAGTTCTAGGAGCTGGAAGAGGAGCTTTGACTCGCAGGCACATTTCTTCATTGTATACACGAATTTCAATCCCAGTTGGTCATCATATTATTTATCGAACGACTGTCCACTGTCACTGTGGTTGCCTCGATGCAGCGATTACCCCCTTTCCCGGTTGATATGAATCGGTGATACAGAAAGAAGATTTCTCATCAGCAAATCAAGGAAAATGGAGTGATTTTGAACCAAGCCCTATCTTCAGATCCCAGAAACCCCTTAGTAGGTCAAACAAACCCGTTGCAACTCTCTCACACTTATCCTGAACCCTTTGCTCCTTCTAGAACGAACACAGAAGTGGACGAATATAGATACGAGTAAGCTAAGAGCCTATCAACCCATCGTTAGATTGCCCCCGACTTGATGTAAAATCAACTCACTCAAATATCCAACCCCGACCTGGGAATGCTTCGTAACACTCGGTAGCCTAGGCCTACCAACATTCCAACGAAGCGCATATATGAATCTTGCTGCGATGTCGCTAACCACCACGATCAGCGATCCCCAACCCAGATAGTGTATATGATAACTGATCATCTTGATACGCCAAGTGCCATTTGGCTGTAGCCTTCTCGTCGGGCTTTCTGCAGATCCGTACCATCTTTTACTCATGCGCACTTGATATAACCAGACACCGCCGATTTTAGGTGGCAAAAGAATGTATATTTGTTGAAATTGGTTTGGACTGCGAAGATCAGGAGCATGGTTCAAGGATTCGGGGACAAAATGTCACAAAAGGAAAAGGCCAACTGGGGGTTTGATGTGGCGAAACGCTGGTGCGTAGGCTGTGGTACCAATTCAACCCGCCTCCAAGCACCCATTGATCTGCGGCAGGTAACCACATTTAACTCCTGGTGTGGCCCAGAATGGTATGCTGTTATCTGTTTGCAACCCCTACCGGTGGGCGCTGAATGAAAGAAGGAAGGAGAGGCACGTAAGGGATAGGTCGCGGGGGGACTGGGAAAAGAAAGCGTGAGTGTACAAGAGGTATATCTGATTTCAAACATCACTGTAGCGCTGTGGCCTGGGTATCTCGAGTCATGTCTGAGAAATAGAAAGCTTCGTCTTGGCGAGAAATGGTTGCCTGGATGATAAGACAAGGCTTATAAGAAAACCGGTTCATCAGGTCAGATTAAATTGATGGATACGACCTGTGGGGCTGGCCAGGTCAATAACGTAGGCAACAAGAAAGTAAAACTCAAGTGGTAGCCAGATATAGAACACTCACCCTAAGTCGATAGTCACTGTTGTTTCAACTTTTTAGAGGGCTAAAGGCCATTATACTTACTGACCACGCGTAGTATGTGCCTTAAGTACGGCTGAGCGGACGGGAAGCCCTGTTCTCCACACCCTACGGTCGTATGTACTAGTTGCCGAGTTGAATAGAATTATCAGTGACATAAATATTATCTCTTGACAGTCATGCCTGGAACCGGACGGGTCGAGGCCAAAAGTTATAGGACCATAGAATACTGTTCTACCCGGCAGTGTGGCGCCGCTCAAGCACCAAAATAGTAGGGATTTAAATAACGTTTGTTGTAGTCCTCCATATTAAAAGTCTGGAAAGTAAGAGAAGCCGAAACTTGGAGATCCTAGCTAATTCCACCTGTCGGTGAGAGCCCCGCCTGCAAGGAATGCCTGTAGCGCAGCATTCCCTTTATGGTATAGCCGGAGGTATAAGCAAATGGAAGGGCATTCCACTCTAGCTCTGAGTTCAATCCACCATATACTGCGACTCGCTTTGAGGTACCATAGATACAGCAACAAAAGCGCCACAGCATCCCTTTTCCGGAGCAAGTCTTCAAAAGGGCCATCGATACTGCGCGTGAAGAGTTGAGTTTGCCCTGTTGTGACCTCACTATCTGGCAGGTCCAGAATCTGAGATAATGCGTGCGCGGCATCGAAATACGGGTTATTGTTCGCTGTAGATGAGTCGTTGAGGAGACATATGGCAACCAAAGCCCTCGGTATTCCGTCTATACCCCTCTCTGGTAAGGGTGCCTGCATCTGTGAAAAAGTCGCGGCCATAACCCGGAAGAGACTATCCGGTCGTAGTGGGTTCACTATGGGCCACAGGGACATTTTACTTTTGCTCATACGTACCCAGTCCAAAGCGGAGTGGTCAGAGGACTTTAAAGGCCATGATTCTTCTGGAGTGCGTGCATCAGGGGACGAGAAGCTCAATATAGCCAGCGCAGCGGCGGTGCCCCAAATTGGGTCCTTATCTTTCGCTTCAATTGGCGCCCTTAACCGTTGGTTGAGAAGAGCTGTGCTTTGAGACCAGTGGTAGCACTCTTCTAGACTGCGACGAGCGCCTGAGCTATTCAGATGGCGGTCATATGTAAGTGATACAGCTATAGAGGCGTGCATTAGAAAAGGGTACTGTATGCGATGTGTTAGTCGAGCCTAGGCCGATCAGATGTAATCCCTGGGGTAACAGAATCAATGTAATAATACTTACGGCGAAGGCTAGTCTCAGGAGCTTGCAATTAACGTGTACCAGATTAGGGTCGTCCGGGATAGTAAGACTTCGTCCATAATACCGGGTGATGAAATCTTGACACCTTGCATTCAACTGATAGGTCGTGGATTCATCAGACGTCCAGACAGAACTAGAGACCGGGGGTCGAAGCTCCGCTTTTCCTCGAACCACCAATGGTCTCCCTGCGTCAGCGGTGGTGGGTTGTAAGTCGGGGATATTAGACATGTAGTTGCATAGTACCCCATATGAACTACATCTCTTGCAGTGTGGTTTGGCTTCGTCGCACTAAGAGGCAAGGAAATCAACCTGTTCAGCCAAGCGCTAGTCGAGGAAAAGCCACACTGACCTTGAGCTTTCTGAGCTTGCAATTTCGGCAACCAAATCTCGACCTCCGCCCAGTCCTACGCTCTCGAACCTCCATAGTTGGTGGATCAACATACTCCTGTGCGGGTTTAATGGCTTCAATGGATTCAGTTGAGTCAATGGGAGGACATTAGTTCCATACGCTAACCTCTTTTGAAAACCACGCTAGCTCTGCCTCGGATGCAGAGGACTCTGATTGGCTACGAGCATCTATAGCCACTCAAGTCATCACTCCGTCCAAGACTACTATAAGAAGAAGCTCATTCCTCAAGGTCCTACATCAGATTCATGAAACCTTGACTTAAAAACCTCTACTTACACAAAGCTCCAAATGGCCACCCACCTCGCCGCTGTCTCCCCAGCCAAAGGCCAGCCCTTTGAAATCCGAGCCCGCCCTACCCCAAAGCCAGGGCCAGACGAGCTCCTCATCGCAGTCAAATCTGTAGCCCTCAACCCGGCAGACACCATCATGCGTGACCAGGGTCTTTTCATACCAGCATACCCCACGGTCATTGGCTTCGATATGTCGGGGTTGATCCTGGAGGCCGGCGACAATGTCCCAGTGTCCTTCCGACCGGGTATCACCCGCGTCGCCGCCTACGCCGCTTTGGTCTGGAAATCCTGCGATCCAGACTATGGCCCATTTCAGGAGCGGTGCCTCGTCCCGTGGCAGCATGCGGTGCCCCTTCCGGACGAGGGCATGTCTTGGAACCACGCGGCAACTCTGCCTGTCGCCGTGCAGGTACCCCTTAGCGCGTGGGATGCCATGGGCATCTCCCGAGTGGGAGAGGCCCCTGCAAAGAATATTATGGAAAAAAGAGAAGCCCTCCTAATCTGGGGTGCCTCCTCAAGCGTCGGCACTATGGGCGTTCAAACGGCCCGACTCCTGCGGGAAGATGTTAACTCTTCTTTCGCAGCCGTGTATGCCACGGCTGGATCGGCGAACATGAGTTATGTAGGTTCATTGGGTGCGGACCGCGTGTTTGACCACAAAGACTCACGAGTTGTGGATGCAATCATCTCGGCGGCCAAGGAGGACGGATTAGTGATCCGGCACTGTTTTCTTGCTACCGGACAGCTGGCGCCATGTCAGGCTGTGCTTAAGACATTCCTCGGAGAACATCAAGAAGGGAACAACACTAACACGGCGAAAATTGCGTCAGCACCCGTCGTGCCCCCGGATGCGAAGGTCTTGGACGGGGTGGAGACGATATTTGTGATGCCATCGATGGTAGAAGGAGAGAGAATGGAGCAGTTTCGATACTGGATTGGGACGTGGCTGAGGGAGAACCTGGTGAAGGGGACCATCAGGCCGAGTCCGCAGCCAAGCATCGTGGGGAAGGGTTTGGGGGTTATCAATGCTGGGTTGGACAAGCTGCGCGAGGGGGTGAGTTGTACGAAGTTGGTTGTTGAGGTTGCGGAGTGATAGCATCACAGGCGTTGAGTCGGGTCACAGAACCATTAGCCTAGAATCGCCTTTTCATCGGTGGAGGGTTGTGGTGATATATATCGCTGAGATAGCAATCTAAATCTTGTCGGCAGGGTGACAGCAACGTATAGTGAGCTTCGTATATTATCAATACTATGTTGAAGTTGTATGATCGGATATAGTGAAGATACATATCTATCTACTACACGATTAGTACCACGACATTCACCTCCGATCATAACATACGTAGGGCTAGATCCAAACCAATAAATCGCTCCGGCATGATTGGCGTGCCTGAAGCTTATGCGGTAGCTTATTCTTGGCGCGGAGAAACTGAAGAATGCAACCGCCGATCAACGCGCCACAGAATTCCCCATCCTAAATTCAACTTCGATGTCGCGCGGTCCCAAATCAAAATGCCACAAACCGACGATCGTCCCTCTCTAAACCCTACCGTCGAAGAGGAAAACGAAGAACTCCATGCAGAACCCCATACAACTGAAAGTACCGCGCCGCGCAATCGAATATCATGGCCGGAGGTGCGCGAACGTTCCCCGCGTCAATGACGCACGATATTCATCATGTCGAGATCGCTAAGGAGTATGAAATTTATTACAGATCTGCGCCCAACATGAGTCCGTTCTGTCGTTACATCTGGAAATGTTGAATACGGTGCGAAACAATGCGTCTAATGGTGACGCGTTGCAAATGGTTGCTGGGATGATTGAGAAGACGAATAGGTTGATGACACAGTTTCGCGTGGTGAAGAAACACTTGGTTAGTGAAGGCTTTTTCCTTTTCTTTCCTTTTATTTCTCTGTGGGAGAGACTCTTTCACATGCCAATTTCTCTCCTTTCTGAGTCGTAATCATGATCATGCATGTATGATGCTAATGTTAGGCAATAGATTTCGAGTACGTATTGTGTTCTGAAGAATCGTTGCTACCGTTGCATGAAGGTAACCGTGTGACAGAACCAGGAAAATTTGGGGAGTCTTCAGAAAAACCAACTGCTACACCGAATGAATACCGGACGACGTCTACGTCATCTAGTCGCGACTCGTCAAAACGACGACGCAGCCATTCAAAGGAACGGAGGAAACGGTCACGAATGGAAACGGACAGTATGGAGGTGGAAAATGAAAGCACAGATACCATGCCTGTCGGGGCAGTTCAATATCAGAAGCGCAAGCGACTGGACACGGTGATGTTGGCTGACGATGAAGATGTGAGGAATGTAACGCCGGTGGCTTTGGAAACAGAGGACATCTCCGAAGAAGTCCAGCGTCGACTGGAAATCAAAGAAGAGCAAAGAAGGAAAAGGAGCTCTAAGCCGGAGAAGAGGAAACGCGACAGTATGGCGTCAACGGGTAGTACTTCTTCCCCCAACGGTATTTCAAAACCGAACAAAAAGACCAAAACCGAGAGGCCTCAGGACGGTATTATTGATGTACCATGGGACACTGGCAGGAGGAAGAAGAAGATTTTGAAGCCATTTGACTCTGAGCAGGGGTCTGACGTCGGTTCTTCGGAAGAACAACGAAGAACAAAGCGCCAGAAACGCAAGTCGGGGACTCCTCCTGTCCTGTGAAACATCATGAGTTTCGACAGACAAGACAAAGGCACTGTGCCAATTCATGACCCTCTTCTTGCAGTCAGAAAAATACGTTTGGGGATGGACTGTGCTCTTCGAGAAGCATGGCTTAGTACAAGCCTATTGTGTATAGTCATGAGGCTCAAGTGGAAGGTTTTGGTGCTAAATATAATGAGCCCCCGCGGTTGGTTCCGTGGATACTGGGTGATCACTCCAGGTTCCCCGGATTACGCCAGATTTCCTCTTTTGAAAGTATATACTTGAAATCATATTTTACCAGACAATACCAACACCGTTGCATCCCACTCTCGTCGAAAAGAACCACACATGCTCAAATGAGCAAGAGTGACGTCCGTAGGCACTCTCGTATTTAACGCTCGTCTTCTCCCCCCTGACTTTCTTTTCTCCATCTTTCCTGACTCCATTGCTGCTACTGCTACGATCTACTATCCACCATAACAACCTACTTGATTCGTTTGATAACATCTGTCTACCACTTGAACAAGCACGAGAAACGAGCGTCGAAGAGTCCAGACGAGTTTAACAACCGATATAGACCTCGACACATCATAAGCACACCACTGAACTAGTAACTTGTAACCGAACACCCAAATCGGAACGTTGCTTTCAAATATCCCCCTCAAAAAAATCATATCCACACCGCACCTCAAACAAATCTTGAATTACGCTTAAAGTTATATTTTTTTTTAACCTTTTTTCCTCACGAAGGAAAGAAAGGGATCCGTTCTTGAGAATAAGTGCGGCCAAGACTAGCAGTGACAACCTGACCTCCTAAAATTGTTATTCACCTGCTCCTTCGTTCCGATCAACTGCCTCTTCACCTGTTAGCTTTTGTTATTCATTCCATTCCCCCCCGAGTTAGCAATAAAATGGCTTTCTTCGGAGAAGGACCCGTCGTATCCCACCCGGGTCACGGCTTCGTACCCACTACCGGTGCCAATATCTGCGCCGGCAGGAGGCCACAGGATACTGGATCTGGCAATAGACGCCGGAACAGGAGACGCAACGAGGTGTCCGAGGTAAGTGGATCTCGTCTGACGATGCTTGATCATTGAGCTAACGATGGCATATAGACAAATCAAAGGTCTCGGCCCTCACCCCCCTCTGGCCCCCGTGGTTGCCGCGGAGGTAATAACCACCCTGCCAATGGAAATAACAGAGTACAGAGGCAGGGGCCCCGCCAGCCACAGGGGCCAGGGGGGCAAAACAACAGATTCACCCCTCGGAGAAGTCGACGGGGTCCCGGTCCCCAAGGGAGGGGGCCCCAGCATGGTGGCGCAAACAATGCGCCTAGACACCCGGGTCAACGCCGTGGCCCTAAGCCACGGGTGTCCCGGGATGGCGACACCATCATGCGCGACGCGCCCGCGCTTAACGTGCAGCCGGTGAGGCAGCGCGGCATCTCCAAGCCTCGCCTCCCTCCTCAGGGGGACGTGGTGATGGTCGATGTGTTCACTGCGTCCCCACCATCTGAAGTGGAGGACGTGGTGATGCTCGACGTCTTCATCACGTCCCCCTCCGTTGAACAACAATTTGCGGCACTCGCCCTTGTGAGTATCACCTTCCTGCCTCCGACTGTGACATATAAAACTAACGTATGACAGGCCGCCCCACAATTCGCCCCAAGTACAGGGGAGGAGCCTCAGGACATCGAAATGACTGAGGCCCCTCCCCTGTACTTCTTTTAAACCGACTCTCATGGAAGGCCAGGTAGCCCAAGTCACTGCTTGACGATATAAGGGCTGCCTGGCCTTCCCACATATCTTTCAATGGAGGCCAGGTAGCTCAAGTCACTGCTTGACGAAAGAAGGGCTGCCTGGCCTCCACAAACATCGACAAACAACCCTCCAAGCACCAGGCTGCCGCGACGCCCAACGCCTACACACACAAACATCAAATAACAAAAAAAGATCAAACTAACAAAACCACCAAAAAAGTGTGCTTTAAACATGCTTCTACGTGGACCACGCAACCAGCTGCTGGCGGCTCCATTGAATTAAAGGGCGCCCCAATGGCAGCCGGCCGGGCTGGATATGCCTCTCTTTTGTTAAATCTTCTACCTTCTTTGCATCAGTTTATGGCAGGCTAGCGGCAGTCATGGTGACAAACAACAAACATTGATGTCCGCAAAATCGAACAATCCCTCCGAGTCATTCAAGTCATTTCAGTTAAAACAATCTCACCACATGGCTCCCTTATCGACACAACGGACACAATGAGGTAACAGGCGGAGGAATGAATACGAGGGAAGTGGAGGATAAGGGGTAACCCACATGGCAGACGTGTTGTGGATGTCCCGCCTAGGTGTACAACCTACTCTGCATGGGTAGGTTGGGGAGGACAAAGGGGGTTTTATATTGGGGACGTTAGCGTAGACCTAGCTATAAAAGCAGGCTACGCGGGGTAGTTTAAAACAACCTTGTCTTTAAAGACAAGTTGTATTTATTAAAAAGGGGACGTTAAGAGTAACCTAGCCTTTAAAGGCAGGTTACAGTGGAGGTATTAAAGTAGACCTTGTCTTTAAAGACAGGCTACTATTTAATATCAGGGGACGTTAGAGTAGTCTAGCCCGTAAAGCAGACTACAGTGGAGGTTTTAGGTAACCTTGTCTTTAAAGACAGGTTACATTACAAAGGTAAAAGTGGCCTATATTAAAAGGTCAGCTGGAGGAAATAGAATAAGGGTTTCTTATGTTGTGCATCCTGTTCAAGGTTTTTACCTCGTACACTTAAAGTCTACGGACATGGCGAGGATGTTTCCCTTGTTCCAAGGCCCGAATGGGAGGATAGTAATTTCTTTTGTTTTATTTGGTTTTTTAAGTTTTGATTTAGAAATGGAGTTTGTTTTTTTCTCCAACTGTTGACTGAATACGTAGTGAGCCTGTAGAGTCTTGTATAGTAATCGTAGATTGTAGATTAGGGCTTGAGCTGGAAGTGATATACTTGCAGGTATATGATCCTAGCATCAAACAAACCGGTCTAAAAAAGTAGGTCACAAAGCCGAGAATTAGATGGTGATGTGCATTCTGGATTAGCTAGCCTGATCTGCTGGTAGGGTATGGCCTATAATCAATTTGTACCGCTTGCTAACAGAATAGTCTATAGATAGCTTGCCAGAGTTCTGGATTCCCCCCCTGATCATTACACTAGTGAGCCGTGACATACATTGGACGTTATGCCGAACTGATATGGACAAGACCGTTGACATAAACAACAATTGGAGGCGAACCCTCTAGCTACAACGATCAGAATGGTAGCAGACATAGGACTTACTTATATGAACGAAGGGAAGCCATCAAAGATTTAGAATATTTACAAGCTTAGATAGCAGATATACCTCTCACAATCATCCAAACCCACACCAGTGGAGCAACAATAAGCGGAGAACCAGCATGACATGTCATCCATCCCATAATATACATAGTATAAAAAGCGCGAGCCCTATCCAACGCTCCAAGAAAGTGAACCGCCAACGCCCATCCCAGATGCAAAACCCAAACAAAACATACTATACAATTTTCAATCCCCAAAACAACAAACTCACTCCTTCTTGCCCTCCTCCGCATCCTTCTTCCCCCAAGTCCACACATCCCAAATATGCTCTTTGATCAAATCCCCATATCCCTTCCCCGCATCCAACGCCTCCTGCTCCTCACGCAGCCTCCTCTCCTTCCAGCCCTCAGACTCGCCACCCATCCACACCCTCTCCATAACACCCTTATCCTGCATCTCGCGCGCCCTCAACTTCTCAATCTCCTCCGTCGTCAGCCCCCCCTCCCGCAATTGCTTCTCCCGCGCCGCGCGCATCCGCGCCTGGATCTCCAGCGCCCGCTCACTCGGCAAGCCGGACGGGACAATCGTCCGCCCGGAGGAGATCTTCGAATGCACGCGGTCGACGATGCTGCGGCCCGTGCGCTCGTGCGTGACATGGTTCGCAGAGAAGGCGAAGGCAGTGCCCAGTAGCACAGTCAGGTGGTCGAGTTTCCGGGGCGGCAGTGCGATCAGGATCGGGGATGCGACGAGAAAGGTGTAGGCGGCGTAGTTTTTGAAGCGCGCGTAGTCTTCTTCGCGGCGGGCTGGGATGTCTGTCGTTGTGGAGGTGGACATTGTGTGGTTTTCTTTGGTTTTTGTGTCGGATGTTGTAATTGACGGGGTGTGTATGGTTGTAGCGGTTGGTTTTGGTATGCGGAATGGTTTAAGTGCTGTACTTGCTTTTTTTTTTTTTTTTTTTT